TGGGACATTGTTTGCACCTCAACAAAAATCCCCTTCTAATGGAACTCTAATTTCGACTACAAAAGTTACTTAGTGTAAAAGGAATTTGTTTTCTTGTATAACTCTATCTAATTTCCTATATATAAGATTTGGTGGAAGACATAAGATAAGAATTCAATCTATCAAAAATATGGGATTTTCAGTTCTTTTCTCTCTCAATTTCTCAATTATAGATTTAGAATTCCTCAAAAATAAGCCCACCATTATTGAAAAATAAATAATCTTTGATATATAATAGAATATTCAAGATTTTGAAAGCGTAAGGTTATTCTCAAATTTACCGCAGTAGTCCTTATGTTTTGGACGCCACAACTTGATCCACCATTGGATCATCACAAATGTTTTACTGAAGGTTTCTAACATGTAGGGCTACGATCCCGAGTAGTTGGATCGTCTACCCAACTTTCGACGATGAAGTTATGAATTTCGCAACTCCACTATAAATTCCTAGACATAAGCATAAGGTTTTAGAAGATCCGTTCATGATTTCGGAGGACGCCGTGCATGTTTCATATTATTGTTGAGATTGAAGATGGTGATTGGGATAGTATTTGAATCCTGTTGTAAGTTCTAGATTTGATTTATAATTTCGCAATTAATCTATAATAATTCCATAAGCGTATCCTAGAAAAAGTTTATACCGTAAAAATGAATTTCTCATTTTTTCATTCGAATTTATCAATGTCGCACTCCTGGGATTCGGTTGAAATCCAACAACTCATTCTGATACCAATTGTTGGGAAAACAAATCCCCAGGAGCGCATCATTGATAAATTCGCTTGAGATTCGTTTTAACGGTTTAAAATTTTCTTAGAATGTGCTTATGGAATAATTCTAGATGAATTGCGTGATTATAAAATCAAAGCTAGAACTTACAACAGGGTTCATATACTATCTGACGTCTTCAATTATCAATTGTATCAACAACATGAAACACGAACAACGTCCTCTAGAATCACGAACGAAGCTTCTCCAAAACTTTGTTGATGCTAAGGAATTTCTAGCGAAGTTGAGAAAATCATAACTTCGTCTTTAGGAGTCTGGTCGACAACCCGTTTACTTTTGATCGTAGCCTACATGTTAAAAACATTTAGTAAAAATATTTTGACGATTCGACGGTGGATGAAATTGCAACGTCCAAAACACTGAGTTCCTAAAGTAAATCTGAGAACAATCTTTCGCTTTCAAAATCTCAAATATTTTATTGTATATCCCGAATTATTGCGAAATAATCTCAATTCAACACAAATATTCAATCAGGACAAACCACGATTGAGAATAGTTGATGCTCAAAATCAAAACAAACAAGCAAATCCTTATTATGTAGGAACCCTAGTATGAGAATTTAATTTGAAATTTAATGAATCAACTGTAATAGAACACAAAATAATTGGAGGATGAAATAGATCTTTATTCAATTAATAAGAACAAGAGTTTAGAAAACAATCAACAAGAAGATCAAACTATAGAAATTTTCTTCAACAAATCCTATTTTTCTTTCTCGGTCTTCTCTCTCTGATTTCTCTCCTCTCTTTCTCTCTGAATGCAAAAACAATTTTTTTTTTCTCTCTCTCGTAACCCTAACTAAAGACAACTATTCCTCTTTTTATATACTCCCAGAAGTTAGTTTCATCCCCAAATCTTCAGCACGTGTCTTGAGCTCCACCTCAGCTAACACACGAGTTCCACCTCATCAAGACAGTTAGTTGTTATTCTCATGCTATCCATCATCCAATGCATGTACAATTAGTTGATTGCACGACACTCCTTAAATTCCTTTATCATTATCGCAACCACTCATCTTGATGAATTGATGATCAAATCCAACACAGATTAATAATTATTCTACAAGTATAGGGTTATACTTAAAGAATTCTAAATCCATAATTGAGAAATATAACTTAAAAGATAAAAGGAAAAGAGAAAAATATTCTTCTTCTAAACGTGTGTTAACATGAATAATAAGTAGATGACTGAAATTCCTTATTTGCTACAAAATGGTTGAAATTCTTTCTTTCCTACAACTCTAAATAGCAAAAAACATGAGTCCTATGAGACCCCATTTTTTTTATTACTTTTCTCTCTCCTTGGTTGAATTTTATTTTCTCTGTTATTTAGAAAATACATTTGCCTACAATAAGGACTAAATGAAAAAATATAATTCGGGCAACTAATAAATAATAAAATTCAAATTCTAAAAATAATTCATTTAGTTAATCATTTAATAATTATTATTTTCACTACCAAATAATTATGGAACTCTCGTTTGTATTATCAAATATCACATTCGAGCTCCGGTCGATCATTACTTAGATTCTCCATACATTAAGATATCTTATGACCACCAAATAATTTATTCATAGCTAAATAAATTAAATAATTTCTTCTCATGAACCATATACGCTTAACTTATTTGAGTATATCGGATAAATAATCCATTTGACCAGGATTTGGCATAAATAAAACGCATGAGCTACTCAACAGGTATTAATAAATCCCATTATATCAGTGATGTTTATTTATTTCAATAATTAATTTCCTCCTATTAATTCTTAATGTCTCTACCCAACGCACCGGAGTTCACCCGACTCAATATAGGAATATATCTCATTGCGACATCAAAGTAGAGATCATCAATTAGATGTGTACGTTAATTATCAATTAAATGCTCACGTTTACTGTCAACTAGAAATAATACAATTTTATTTTTGAATAGTGATGAAATAATTATTTCACTTTACTCGGTTGAATACATGTTGGATGTTCTAGCACAATAAATCAAAACAATAACTATCTAAGTTATTATCTGTTTACTCTAACCTAGATAGATCACATTAAATATTGTTCTATACTCATTTCCAATGGTTAGTCCAATTTCATCTAAATTGTGACCTATTAACTTTATATTCTAAATGAACTTTCAAAATAATTTTTTGTGTGCTATATCAAAATTAGCACACCATTTACGAATACTATTAGAATATGAGACTTATGCTTCTAATTAATTGACAAATAATATATACCACAATTACCCCTAATAAACACCCCCAATTCATGATTTAAACCATTATTTAACACACAATTTCACCAATTTTGACTGCTAACCCAATTTTTACCGCCACCTTCTTTGATTTTGTTTTTTCAACAATTTTGATGTGTTAACCGATCAATAAAGATGTACTACTATTTGCAGCTATTATATGGTGGCCGATAGTAAAATAACACTATTATATTGTGGTCCACAATAAAACAACACACGATTATGCTGTTGTGAACAGTAGATAACCGATCAACACGGTAAAATTACTGAAAAGAGAGAAAAGAAAAAGGAAAAGAAAAACTTAAAACTAATTAATGTTACTATGAAAATTAATTGTTATTGTGAAAATTAATTATACTATGAAAAGTAAAATGTAAAAACAAAATAATATTACTGTGAAAATTAATGTTATTGTAAAATTATAAGGAAAAAAAAAAGTTACTGTGACAATCAATGTTATTGTGCAAATGAATGTTATTGTGTAACTTAATATTATTGTATTTAAAAAAAAAAAAAAAACACAAATGGTCTAGGTTTGTATAACATTGTGTTATTCTAGAGGTCTTGGGTTGCATTCCTAGTTGTAGCATAACTTTTCTTTTCAGTAATAGATTTTTTAGTGCTTTAGGGGCGAGTGGCGACGAACGGAGGGTGGCAACAATGGTGGTCGGAGGCGGCCGGTAAAATTTGATCAAAATGGAGGTTAGTATGTAATTTAAAAAAAAAATTCGGTCAATGTGCAATATTGGTTATATTAGAGTTTTGGAAGGAAATTAGAGTAAATTAGATGTTAAGGGGTATTTTAGTCTTTGATAAGGTCGATGTTATTTTTCGTAGAAGAAATGTTGAGATGAATATATATGCAAATGGTTTTGGTGTCGAACTACATGGCTCAAAGTGACTGTTCCTAGTCAACCGACTGCTCTTATCCGATTCCAATAACCATGTTGATTATTGTGGGGAAAAAGGGCCCAAATAGTTTAAGACAAGTCGATTCCAATAACCATGTTGAACTAATCAAATCGGCCGGTCCAGTCTGGTTTTGATAACCATGGTATACCGCACTCTCGAGTTTAATTGACCTCTTATGTAAGCAATAGAAAGTCCAAGAGTGTTCAATTGGTCATTAAGTACATAAACAAGTGCGTGTTGTGGCACCGATATTCATAACTTGGTGCAATTTTTTTTTTTTGAATTTTATTAACAGTGTTGAAATATCTTCATATTGAATTTATCATAGCAAATCCATTGAACTTATTTCGAATGAGTTATTTGACAAAGAATTTCAAATTCATAACTTTCATTTTTATTTTTAATAATTATGGTAAATTTCAAATTCCTTATATTTGGAGCCACGTGAAATTCTTTTATTTCAAATTCTTCAATCTAAATACATCATAAAGTATTTCAATCTAATGAGCATAAGATGTCAAATTCATATAGTTCTGATTCTGGAAAAACACAGTTTTCATCCCTCAAGTTTGCACTGATTTCACATTTGGTCCTCAATGTTTATAAAAAACACATTTGGTCTCTCATATTTCAAAAATTCAATATTTTTAGTCATTTCCGTCAATTTTTCGTTTGTACTAACGAAGTCAAGATTGTGCCCATCAGTGCCTTAACTGAGGAATTAACGGTAAATTGACGGAAATGACAAAAAATGTTAAATTATTGTAACATGAGGGACCAAATGTGAAATATGAGAAAGCTTGAGGGGCTGTAAACTGTAATTTTCCGTCTTGATTCCAATGATTCACAAAGTCTTTTGAACTTTATAGAGATTTTTACTGCTGACGTGGCCATCCATCCATCTCCAACAAACTATCTTCATTCACCCCCACCCCCTCTCCCCCAATTATTACCCTCCACGTCATCAAAATTCTAACATGCGCCTCAACTCTCCATCCCCGCCCTCCATTTCCTCAGATCCAACGTTCGAAACATAGACAGGTGGTCAAGCGCATATTAGCACTCCCCACCAATAGCCGTTGAAAAAGCGGCCATGAAAATATCTTTCTTTTTCAAGTGGTGCTGCGGTGTAGTGTTTGCATATTCAGAATTTTCAACCACTAGAGAGAGAAACGACACCATGAGAAGACTTCATTATCCACTCTAATCCGTATTCTTCTCTGTGTGTGTGTATATATACATATACATATACATATACATATATATCGATATAGATACATACAGTCCGAACGGGTCTGTCTAGCGTGCGCTGGATCCGGGTCGGGTCAATTGTGGACTTTCCACTGTTCCGCCGAACTTCCATCTCATAAATCCTCTGTTTTTTTTGGGGATTTTTCTGAATAAAAAGTGAAGCTTTGAAAAAAATAGCTGGATTTTTGTGGCTGATCTGTAAAATGGGACTTCTCTTCGGACTTTTGCAGTTCCGGAAGACGAATTCAGTATCGATTAGGTCAGATGAGGTGTTTTTTATTCCTCTGCAGGCTGTGAATTTTATGGAGTTTCTCTAGCATCGATTTTTTTCGATTATTTTTTTGGTGGATTTAATAGTTTTGTAGCTAGGGTTTAATCGTTGGGGAGGGTGATGGAGAAGAACGGTGATGGATTCATTGATAGGAGTAAAGTTAGGATTCTGCTTTGCGATAACGATGACTCGAGTTCTCAAGAGGTTTTTACACTTCTGTGTAAATGTTCTTATCAAGGTACAATTTGTTTTTGAAGTATTTTTCTTGATTATTGTGTTTCTTTGATCGAATTAGAAATGTTATTTGACGAATTTAGAGCGAATGTGTTCGGTTTCTTTTTTCAGAAGTGGCTGTTTCTTGAGCTTTACATACGCAAATCGAAATCGTTTATTACACATACGCAAATTGTTAGTTTGAACGTGGCAGTATTTTCCGATATTATGTTATACACTATATTTAATCGGAAAATCTGGCTCACTCGATTAAGACTAGCTTGCTTTAATTTGATTCAAGTTTTGTTAGACGGTTTCGGGACTTCGAAATTAGAATGACTGTGTCGGAGAAGAATAAGAACTGTCTATGATTAATTATCTTATTAAGATAACTTTCAAAGTTCAAGAAACTTGTGAAAACTCGATCAGCAATAGTTGCCTTTGTTGTTATTTCGTGCATTTAAACCTCGTGGTGATTTTCATGCTGAATGCGAATAGTTTTCGTATTCTGCAGTGACTTCTGTAAAATCACCGAGGCAGGTGATTGATGCACTGAACGCTGAGGGGCCTGATATAGATATCATTCTTTCTGAAGTCGACTTACCTATGTCTAAAGGATTGAAAATGTTGAAATATATTATGAGGGACAAGGAGTGGCGGCGCATTCCTGTGATCAGTAAGTGTACTTGTCTCGTATTTCTTTACATTATGTTACATTTTAGGACAAAATGCACTTCACCCCCTATAAATTTTCCATTTTCGCACTCCCCCCCTAAAAATTTAAAATATGGATAACCCCCATTCAAAATATTATTTTGTTGCACTTTGCCCCAAAAGCCAATTTTTGTTGGGCATTGTTCAACAAAAATAACATTTTAAAGTCGTGCAGAAAAATAATGTTTTTATGGGACAAGGTACAACAAAAATAACATTTAAAGTGGCAACGTGCAACAAAAACACTCAATTTCAGTAAATAATCCATCGAAATTTTGCTATCGGGGCAATGTGCAACAAGAATAACATTTTGAAGGGGGACATTCACATTTCCAAATTTTTAGGGGATAAAGTACGAAAATTAGAAATTTATAGGGGGTGACGGTGCAATTTTCCCTACATTTTAAGGTATGACTTATTATATTCCTTCTCATAATTTGATTATTTTTTTTTTTTTTGTTGTTGCTTTATCTTTGCTCTGGTAGTGATGTCAGCTCAAGATGAGGTTGCTGTTGTTGTCAAGTGTCTGAAATTTGGAGCAGCTGATTATCTGGTGAAGCCGTTACGTACAAATGAGCTCTTAAACCTGTGGACACATATGTGGAGAAGGAGGCGAATGGCAAGTACACTTTTCTTTCATCGTATAGTATAGTTGCTTTAAACAATCATCGTACAAGGAGTGTCGTATATATCTGTTGATGTGTTCTTCTAAAATATATCTAATGTACTTGTAATTTCTATCTTGACGTTATGTAATATGATGTGTGTGCCAATTTTACGTGTACAGCTTGGATTAGAAGAGAAGAACCTCGTGAGTTATGATTTTGATTTGGCTGTCTCGGACCCAAGTGGTGCAAATACCAACAGCACTACTTTATTTTCTGATGACACGGATGACAAGTCTAGAAAGAGTACTAATTCAGAAACATGTGTTTCAACTCGGCAAGAGACTCAGGTGAGTTCATGTTTTAGGATTGAGTGGCGATGCAAAATGATGCACATTGATTAGGGTAATACAATGTATACATTTCCATTCTCGAAATGTAAAAATGTTAATCGTTGAGAGTGTCTTTCTCTCTATGAATGCATATTTTTCGTCTCCTGAAAGCATGTAGAATTTATAGTTGTGCCTCCTTGCGGATTTTTTACTTAACGATCGATGGACTCGTCGAACATTCAATACAACAGTTAGTTCTTGTTTTGGTATACCATGTTAGTTTAACTTATGTAAAATTTCTTCAGATTGTCCGTGCTTCATTTTACCCATGACTAGAAAAAACACCTTTGAATTCTTTTATTCAACTCTTTAATCATTCCTTTTTTTGTGTGTGCAATCTCCCTTTAAATGTTTTAAGGGAGTAAACAACCCTTTCAATTCCTAATTGACAATTAGCTCGAGTTTTTTATCTTTTACGGCGAACACTAGTATCCGACCCTGAAGTAGTTTTGAGAAAAACAATAGTTAACAATGGTAAAAGTAGAGGGGCAACAAAATGTTGGGCCCACAAGTGAATAGAAAAGAATAAAGCAAACATAGGAGAACACATTTTGAACACACATGAAAAGAGAGTGTTGGCTCTCTTCTAGCGTAACATATGCAGTACCGATGCTTGCTGCCGAGGCCCAAGTTGGATAGAGCGAGTATAAACTTTTGAAGACTACTGCATCGGTATTGCATATGTTACGCTAGAAGAGAACCAACCTACCAAGGTTAATTGCCGACACTTTCTTTCTGCATGTGTTGAATATGTGTCTTATCCTGTTTGCTTTATTCTATTCTATTTTCTTGTGGGTCCAAAATTTTGTTGCCCCTCTACTTTTACCATTGTTAGCTCAAAATAACTTCAAGATCGGATATTAGTGTTTGCCGTAACATCTGGAATTCTCGACCTCATTACTAATCAGGAAACTGAAGGGTTTTTTTTAACTCCCTTAATGCCGTTGAAGGGAGACCGTTTATTGCTATTAACGAGAAGATTCAATTGTATAAGTGGATGCTCAATGGTTCCCGAAACAACATCAGTGAAGACTTCTCTTTAATCACTTGTACATGTATAGGGCGGTTTATTTTCCGCACTGATCTTCGTCATTTATAATTTGACCAATATGATTTTCATTAATGGGGTGATATTTCTTTTGTCCTGACATCTTTATTTCAGATGAATGCTACTGCTGCTCCTATCGAGACTGTGAGTGCAGCTACTTTGGATTGTCAGCCCAATGTCCCAAGACTAAATAATGATATACAGAGAGGTAAAATAAACTAAAATTATTGCCAGAAACCTATAAAATTTAGTTTAGTTTTTAAATGCTAGTCCGTGTCTCTCGGATGCTTCTTTCCTTTTCCCTTTCTCTTCATTGTTTTTACGGTTATACTTCATCTCTTGAATATCCCGTTAAATAGCTTCAGGAGTTGTGTAGTTTCTGTGAATAATCTTGTTTAAATAAGAGAAGTTATTGAAAAATGCTCAAACACACACAAAATGGTGCGAGCTACATGTTTTGCACTGATCTTTGCACGTGTATCTATGACGAATCTTATCGCTAATCTTGGGTTAGGCTTACACATTTCTCACTTAGGTTATACCTAGTGTCATATTATAACCGCGTATTTTCCTGAATATTATCGATTTTCTGAAAAAAATATTTTGTTCCATTTCAAAGCAACATGAACTAATAGTTGGTTGAACGTATCACAAACTCATCATCGTGACACTTCAGATTCTTTGAGTTGCATGAACGTATCACAAACTCATCATCGTGACACTTCAGATTCTTTTTTTTTTTTTTTTTTTAGAATATATTTTTAGAAGATCTATTCAATGGATATTACTCGTTTTTTGTAGAAGATACCACGTAACATGGCTGTCTTTGTGTGTGAATTTGAAAACATCTCCAGGACAAATGTCACCATTTCCGAAAAACAAGGAACTGAAGATAGGCGAGTCTTCGGCATTTTTATCGTACGTCAAATCAAATTTTGACACCCCCAAAATCACCCGCCACGTAGAGAAGAATCTCTCCATGGAAAACCATTCACAAGCCGATGAAATTTCCCAAAAACAGATGAACCACACAAACGGGGAGTTCTCTCGGGCCCCACATTTACATTTAACAAACAATTTTTACCCCAACGATTTATCCGGTTACTACAATCACACTACCTATCCTTATTACATTCCTAACCATGCTACTACTCCCGCTATAATCCCTCATCAATACAATCACATCCCATATTATCCACCACCTTTTCATAATAATAATAATAATAATAATAATAATCCTTACTACCCGTTTGGTGGTATATGCCTACAACCAGGCCAAGCGCCGACCACTTCGTTTGAAAAATCGTCCAACGAGGGTAAAGATGATCGAAGGTTGGCAGCTTTGATGAAGTTCAGGCAAAAACGGAAGGAGAGATGTTTTGACAAGAAAATTAGATATGTTAATAGGAAGAAACTTGCGGAACGTAGGCCCCGCAATAGGGGCCAGTTTGTCAGGAAGGTGAACGGGGTTAATGTTGATCTTAACGGTGAGCCTGCTTCTGCGGAAGATGATGACGAGGAAGACGAAGATTATGAAGAGGAGGATCCTTCGAGTATGGATGATGCTTCGGTTTTATTACGAAAATGAACTCGTGATTATGTGCAAAAGGTATCTTTCGATTATTCTTCTTATGTTTCGGAAAGATTCTGTCCTTGTTGCATGATTTGTTGTAATTTCTTGAATTCTAAACTTTGACATATTGGAAAATGACTTTTGTATGTGAAATTTTATTTGCACACTGAAAGCTGAAAGCTTGCACCTTACTTGTTGTGTAATACAATCAATTATATTGTAGGTTGATGTATCTCAAAATATTTGTAATTTATCTGACTGTTCGAATTTTTTATTTATTTATTTCTTTTCTAAATTAAGTTGTTATTTATTAAAGAATGATAATTATTGGTTTTCCAACTCCGAATGAATCGAACTTGTAACTCGAAGCTGTAGAGACTTCAAGCATATTATGGCTCAACGAAACTTGCAGGACAAACCAATTGGCCCTCGTTTGGTTCCTAAGATAAAATTAAATAATTTCAAAGGATCCCATTGTATTGCGGACCATGAACCAATAAATAATCTCGAGATTAGTCAAAATTAGAGTCATTTTCCACAATTACAGGCTGATCCAAAAATTAAGTTTCAATTATTTAACTAATCGTGACTAATATTTACATTAGTAGCATGTTCAATATTTACATTTTACACCAATGAATTGCATTAGTTTGTCGATAATCTAAGCACGTGCGGCGAACTCTCGACCTAGAAAAATGTTAGCACGGGTCGGGTCAAATGACAGTTCACTCTCTTTGCTCCTCCAATTACGTCACCTCTAGGTAAAACCCCAAAAGTAAAAATCACACATTATTACCAATCTGCTGTGTAAGATTTCTACACGACAACGTTTTAGTTGTAGATTTCCTATTTATTAATTAAAACCCTCGTGCGAAATTGCTTCGAATTGTCAACATGCACAAAACATGCGGTAAAAACTAAATCATGAGAGACAAAGCGCTGATGCGTAAGTTGACCAGGTAAATACATGGTATTTGTACGAGGATTTGCTATAAGCTCCATTACACCACCTCCTTCAGCTTCAGCCGCTTTTGTAGCTAGTTGTTGATCTCGATTTTCTTGCATCACGATAACACTTTTCATTTTAAGGGCAATAAAAGGAGAGATACATTAGTTCTTATACGAACACAGAAAAAAAAATGGCTATAACGAAAATGTCTTCCGTTCGGATTTAACATACCTCAATGCACAAACTCAAGAAAAGAGATAAACTGCTACACGAACACAAAGGTAAATTAACAAAGCAAAAGGGCATCTTTGTAAAAATCAAACCGTAAAAAAAAAAGTACCTCTGTTTAGAAAGTTTGAAGAAGTTGGAAACATGACCCCATAACTTCTTCTCGAATGTCTCCCACATGCAATCTATATCTTCAAAGCGTTCCCTAAAATGTGTTGTATTTCAGTCCGTCATATAGAAGTAAAAGTGATCGTTCAAAAGAACGTATAATAAGGTACGATTATTTCTAGAACAGTGCAATTACTCGACTATAAAGCGATGTAGGCACTAATCAATAAACCGAAAATATTCATTTAAAAAAATGTATTATCTCGTATTCATACTTTCCAATCTCAACGACATTTTCTCTAATTTGACTTATCGCCTCACGGGACAAGGACATTGATTCAATATCTACTTATGCGTCATTTGCCTGATACAAAACTGTGACATAGTAAAAATAACCAACCACAAGGAAAAATGCAAAGGAAACAAAACTCAGAACTGTCAAAAAATAAAACTCGTCCTAAATCAACGAAACAGTACACAAGGCTTAAAGTGCGGATCAATGCCTATTCACGTGTCTAACATAAAGATCAGTCCCTAATGTCATTTATTGTGCTTTTTTATTCACTCTCTTCTATTTCTCTTTTCCTTTTCTCTCTATTTCTTTTGCTCTCTGCTCTCTTTCTTCTCTCTCTCCTCTCTTCATTTCTCTTTGGTATCCGCATTCTCTGACGAGAAAATCACTGTAAAACCTACAACGGCCACAAATGATGTACCAAACCCAATGACCACTGTGATTCTTGGAAGTTGACGATACAAAGATCAACTGCACATCAATTCTGTCAAAAGTAATTCGACTTTAATAGAGATCTATGGTGCTATTATCAGAAAGTGGAACGATATCCATCCAGATGCATTGATCCTTCAATACTTGGCTCCTGGGGAAAGATTGTATGTGACATTGGGTTATGACGAAAAAGTGGAGAATATGGTTGCATTGCATTTAATAATGAAGATGAGTGTGATCGACATTGTCGTGATCTGCAAAGATGAACCTAATTCGCGTGGAAAGAGGGTCCGCACTGATGGCTGGTAGGTCTCCATCCCTTTATGTATTGCTGAAATTCATTTCTTTAATTATTATGTGATATACATAGTATAGAATATGACACTTAATAGAATCATGCTAATAGAATTATGGTATGGATGTACGGTACTTACAGTACATAACCGTGATTCGTATAGTATGGGTGATAGGTAAATTTGGTACTGTTGGTGGGAAGACATAGTGTCATATAGAGGCAAAGACAGTATGGAATCAGTGTACATTAGTATTTTTCATTGTTTACCAGTTATGATATTTTTCATGTACATTGCTACTTGTATTCCACTCTGTTCTAATCCATTTAAAAAAAAAATTATACCAAAAGCGGTGGTCAAACCGAGGTTGTAGATTCCAACAGTTTATTGGAAGTCGAAGGTAATCCGCTTGAAAATTCAATTGATGCATGGAGACATTGCATACATGGGGAAAATCATTTTTTTTAAAGATCCTAATGATTTTAGGCATATGCTGAAGAACTATTCTATTGCTAATAATCGATCATTTAAGTACATGAAAAATGATCAACGAAAGATCATAGCGGTATGCACTGTCGCAAATTGCAACTGGAGGATTTATGCATCATTGTACAAGTCAGATAAGTTATTTAGTATTCGCAAATGCAATCTTGAGCACACTTGTGGTGATGCTACTCGTCATACAAGGGGTCATCCTAAAGTCAATGCTACATGGATTTTACAAATTATGAAACAAAAATTGAGAACGCATCCAGCTTACAAACCAATTAGTATGTTAGAGGATATCCGGTCGGATTTTGGTCTGGAGCTTAAGTACTACACGGCATGGAGGGATAAAGAAAAAAACAATGCATGAGATCCATGGTGCTGAGGTGACCTATTATGATAAATTGAGACGTTATTGTCGTGCATTAAAAATGAATAACCCTGGTAGCATTGCAGATTATGAGATCGACACTGCTAGTCAAAAGTTAATTTGGATCTTTATTAGTTTTGGGAGTTCTATTTCTCGTTTTCGTCGATGTAGGCTGACGATATGTGTGGACGAAACTCACATTAAAAATAAGTACAAATGATGTTTAATTTCCGCTGTGTGCAAGGGGATCCAAATGATTCGCTATCACATTGTCCTAGGCAGTTGTTGGTGCTGAGAATGACAAAAACTGGGAGTGGTTTTGCATTAAGTTGAAACAAATTCTAGATTTTCACAATGATTATAGATGTTTTACCATCTTCTCTGATCGTTATTCAAGGCTTCTTAAATCCATCCCGTTGGTATTTCCCAGTAGCCACCATGCATATTGTTTGCGACACTTGGTGGATAGTTTTTGAACTCATGTATTTTGATTTTCTATACATGAAATTATCATATGCAAATTGGAACGTACCATTTGTCACCTCATGTGATACTTTTGTATATCATGTTCCATACTATTACAAAATAATATAAGTGCTGAGGAAATATCCATTGCACAACAAGAAATATGGGGCGAGTGTTTTACATAATGCTGTATATGCTCCTACTCGGCAGGAGTTAGATGGAACTGTTTCTCGTATAGTGCAATTTATGCCTCTCGCATCATCATTTATTTTGAATTCTGATCCAAATCATTGGGCCAATGCATATTTTTCTGGAGAAAGATGGGGAGTCGTAAACAATAACCAGACAAAAAATTGGAATGGTTGGGTTAAAGATGCCCGATCTTCCATCCATGATTAATCACATACGGATCAAACTAATGGAGATGATAAATGAACGACAAGGCAAGGGTCTTGAACATTGTGTGAGAAAATTGAAACATGGTACAATTTTTGTTTGAGAAAAGGAAAAGGTCTTGCACATTTATCATCTCCATTAGTTTGATCCGTATGTGATCAATCATGGATGGAACTGACATAGATCAGACATCTTTAACCCAACCATTCCAATTTTCTGTCTGGTTATTGTTCACAACTCTCCATCTTTCTCCAGAAAAATATGCATTGGTCCAATGATTTGGATCAAAATTCAAAATAAATGATGATGCGAGAGGCATAGATTGCACTATACGAGAAACAGTTCCATCGAACTCCTGCTAAGTAGGAGCATATGCAGCATTATGTAAAACATTCGCCCAATATTTCTTGTTGTGCAATGGATACTTACTCAGCACCTATATTATTTTGTAATAGTATGGAACATGTTATATAAAAGTATCACATGAGGTGACAAATGGTACGTTCAAATTTGCATATTATAATTTCATGTATAAAGAATCAAAATACGTGAGTTCTAAAACTATCCACCAAGTGTCGCAAACAATATGTATGGTGGCTATTGGGAAATACCAACATGATGGATTTAAGAAGCCTCGAATGACAATCAGAGAAGATGGTAAAACACCTATAGTCATTGTTAAAATCTAGAATTTGTTTCAACTTAATGCAAAATCACTCCCAGTTTCTATCATTCTTAGCACCAACAACTGCCTAGGCCAATGTGTATAACGAATCATTTGGATCCCCTTGGACACAACATAAATTAAGCATCATTTGTACTTATTTTTAATGTGAATTCAGTCCAAACATATCGTCGGCCAACATAGACGAAAACCAGAAATAGAACTCCCAAAAGTAATAAAGATCCGAATTAACTTTTGACTAGCAGGGTCAATCTCATAATCTACAATGCTACCAGGGTTATTCATTTTTAATGCGCGACAATAATGTCTCAATTTATCATAATAGGTCGCCTCAGCGCCATGGATCTCATGTATTGCTTTTTCTTTTTCCCTCCATGCCGTGTAGTACTTAAGCTCTAGACCAAAATCCAACCGGATATCCTCTAACATACTAATTGGTTTGTAAGCTGGCTGCGTTCTCAATTTTTGTTTCATAATTTGTGAAATCCATGTAGCATCGACTTTAGGATGACCCTTTGTACGACGAGTAGCATCACCACAAGTGTGCTCAGGATTGCATTTGCAAATACTAAATAACTTATCTGACTTGTACAATGATGCATAAACCCTACAGTTGCAATTTGCGACAGTGCATACCGCTATGATCTTTCGTTGATCATTTTCATGTACTTAAATGATCGATTATTAGCAACATATTAGTTTTTCAGCATATGCCTAAAATCATTAGGATCTTTAAAAAACTGATTCTCTCCATGTATACAATGTCTCCATGCATCAATTGAATTTTCAAACGGTTTACCTTCGACTTCTAATAAACTTTTGGAATTCACAATCTCAGTTTGACCACCGCTTTTAATTTAAAAAAAATAAAAAAAATGGATTACAACAGAGTGGAATACAAATAGCAATGTACATGAAACATAACATAACTGGTAAACAATGAAAAATACTTACGTCAACTGATTCCATATTGTCTTCCCCATTATATGATACTATGTTTTCTCACCAATAGTACCAAATTTACCTATCACTCATACTATACGAATCACGGTTACGTACTGTAAGTACCATACCTCCATACCATGATTCTATTAGCATGATACTATTACGTGCCATATTCTATACTATGTATCACATAATAATTTACAACCCATAAAGAAATGTATTTCAGCGGTACATAAAGGGATGGAGACGTACCAGCCATCGGTGCGGATTCTCTTTCCACGCGAATTAGGTTCATCTTAGCGCTCACGACAATGTCGATCACACTCATCTTCATTATCAAATGCAATGCAACCATATTCTCCACGTCTTCGTCCCAACCCAATATCACATACAATCTTTCCCAAGGAGCCAAGTAATGGAGGATCAGTGCATCTCGATGGATACCGTTCCACTTTCTGATAACAACACCATAGATCTTCATTAAAGTCGAATTATTTTTGACAGAAATGATGTGCAGTTGATCATTGTATCGACAACTTCCAAGAATCACAGTGGGCTCTGGGTTTGGTACATTGTTTGTAGCCATTGTGGGTTTTTACAGCTCTGATTTTCTTGTCGGAGAAAGAGGAAACCCAAGAGAAAAGGAGAGAGGAGAGAGTAGGGGTGGAAATCGGACGGATCGGTTCGGATTCCTCCCCTTCGAAAAAATTCCGATTTTTTTCGGAAGTAAAAACTCAGTTCCGATTCCGATTCCGAAAATTTCGAGATAAAAAAAATCATTCCGATTCCGATTCCGATTCCGAAAATTCCGGTCCGGATTTCGGAATTTTCGAAATTGGCAGCGTCTTGGCGGTTTGCGGTGACTTTGTTGTTTTTTCACGACGGAGCAAGACAATGCGACGATTTTACGAGAGAGAATTCATTCCCTGCTACGAAAATGGTTGTGAAAGGGTAGGTCGGCAGATCTCGACAAGAAAATAGCACACATATATGGAGAGAAGAGGTGGGGCGAAAAAAAAAAATAATAATACAAATACATAGATTAAGAAGTGAGCTCCGGCCTGCAAGAAGGATTTTTGACTAGGAGAAAAAGTGTGGTAGAGAAGAAGAGTTGGGCGGTGGAAAGAGAAAAAGAAGTCGGAGAAGATGGTGAACGGCGCAAGAAGAATAAGCAAGAAATTAGGGTTTTATTGAAGGTTTTTCGTATTTACTGTTTAGTCCCTAAAAATTTGAAAATTCAACATTGAGACTCATCAGTGTGTTGAAAAGTGGGCTGCCTTGCTGAAGTGGGCCTGCCAGCCCATTCTTTTTAAAGTTAATATATATTATAAATAAGTTAAATAATATATATAGTCATGAAAAAATATTAATAATTTTCGGAATTTTTCGGAAAATTTTGGAAATATTATCGGAAATTTCGGAATTATTTTTGGATCGGAATTCGGAAATTTCAAATAATTCATATATAGTTCCGATTCCGATCCCATTTTTCGGAAAAAATCGAAAATCGAATTTCGGAATTCGAACTACGAAAAATTGTTTCAAAATCGGAAAAATTCGGATTGAATTCGACGGAAATCGGAAATTTGATTCTTATCTTTATTTTCTAATTGATTTTTCATTTTAGGCTGTTTATTCTAAAACAATTGGGCCAATTCCTCCTATATAGTTGTCAGCATCTACTTTGTTGGCTTGAAAAGGGTCCCACACCACAGGGTGAAAAATTAACATGCAACGGCATGATTGAGCAAAGAGGAAAATTACAGTCCCACTAATCTCAGTATCGACGGTGTGGAAACCTCCGGTTACTTCCAATTTGACCTGGACTCGCAAAACCACTAGTATTTAATCAACCACCCTACCGGAGGCGGCGGCGGAGTATTTTCTCTAGATATTTCGTCAGGGTAAGAAGGGAAAAAAGCTTTAATTCGTCGGAGAGAAAAGAAACACCGATCAATGGCACCACCACACGACGACAAAGCGGCGGCGGAAGTCAACGACGAACAAATCCCTAAACGCCCTATCTCCAATATTCTCTTCATAATCGGTAGGCTTTTTCCTTCTTTTTTTAAGAAAAAATAATTTATGACGAAAATGTTCTGATTCCGATTTCATTTCCGCTATTCTGAAAAGCTATGCAGACGGAGGCGTCACCTCTAGTGGATAAGTTTCAGCTCGCCGAGGATCCTGATTCTGTGTATGCTTCTTCTACTTCTGAATTTTTTTCCCCATTTTTTTTTTTCTTTTTAGAAATTGATTGTTGGCTGATTTAGGGCTGAAGAATTAACTGTGAAAAAGACAAACAGAAAACCTGACAATTTGTTTATCGTATTATATTTTCTCAGTTACAATCGTCGTTTACCGATCATTTCAATACTATCTTCGTGGAAATAAATTGACTGATGTGTATTGTGTATAAAATGGTGAATCTATATGAGTCATCTGATTATATTTTCTCTTAGGTTTAGATTTGTGTTATTTATTATCAATTTTAAGAAGTTAGTTGCGGTACTTTTTTATATTTTACTTCTCATATAGTACGTTTGGCCACAATTTAACGTAAAGTCGAGTACTTTTGACCTATGGAGAAGTATGTTTCGAATGCAGCAAAAACTTGACGTGATATATATAGAAATCGAGAGATTAGGCAGTTTCAATGTATATTATGGTCAAATCTCGGCAATGCCGGGTAAATTTATACCGTTCATCTACGTGCATTAACATGGATATGCGTGTTTTTGTGCGTGAATCAATGGTAAAGATCTTTTCGTTGTAGCCTGTGTAGGCGGATGTAGAATGTAGCATAAGACTTTACTTTTGATATACGTATTTCATGTGAACTTAATTTTATTCTGATCATGCAGGTTTCCAAAGGGCGTTCCATGGGTTAGGTACTATGGTAAATATAAGGATTTGAACATCAACATTGTTTGCCCTGGAAAAGACACAGTATTGGGTTTGTATTTCTAAACTCCCCAGCTGCATGTATTTACCTCTTTATTACATGCATATGAATATGCTCCGTATTAGCTTTCCTTCATGTAACATCTATTATGATTTATAATTGTTTTATCTAATTTGCTTTGGTGTCCTATTGGGTCAAAATATTATACTTGGTCTCTGTTTCGTAGTGTATTAAGGGGGCAATTAATTGTTTAAATTAATGTTCTTGATACCGTCATGTAAAAGTACACTTATGTGAAAACTCTTAATGCTGGATAAACAAATATTTACGTCCAATATACAATTTGGCGGATTAAGTAAATCTTGTCGTTGCAGCAAAGCATCGCATTCTTTAATTTCCAGCTACTGAACTAGCGAGATATTTCTCTATCAGGTGTTGACTGCGTTGGCACGGTTTCTGCATCTCTTCTGACTTATGCTTCTATTCAAGCATTACAGCCGGACCTTATTATAAATGCAGGGACTTCTGGAGGATTCAAGGTATTACAATTGCAATACCGACGGTTTTTCTTGTTTCTTTCTTCCAAAATTATGGTCTTCTTTTCCCTAATTATGCACATTATGTTTGTGTAAGTAGTTTTCTGCACTCCCTCTTCATCTTAGATTCTCATTTTCTAAATCTTAATGAGTATTATATCTTGGGTACTAGAGATATAAGTACGCAAAATTCTATGATATTGTCTTGAAATGCAACTACATAGAGTGGTGGGCTGAGTTGTTGGTAAGGGACTTCAGTTTGTGTGATTCAGCCATGGGATATTAACTCACTTGTGCATTTGCTAATAGCGTGCAATTAGGACCTTTTCGATATACTTCTCTGTGTTGATATCTTCAACTTGCCAGGCAAAAGGTGCTTCCGTAGGTGATGTATATCTTGCATCAGATGTTGCTTTCCACGACAGAAGAATTCCTATCCCTGTAAGTCATTAGATGCTCTCACTTTTTACATTAAATGTTTTACATTATAAAATATACATAACGTGGATCAGCAAAAACGAGAACTTTATTTTAAATAGTTCTTAGTTACTCAAAAAGTTTAGATTTGGATCACTACTCTTCCACTGAATGAAACAACTAGTTTGGGGACCCTTTTACGTGTTTGCTTGTAGAATTATTAACTAACTTATGTGGCATCATATCTTTATCCGCTATTATTTCTATCTACAGGTTTTTGACTTATATGGTGTTGGCTCACGTCAAGCATGCTCCACACCTAATCTTGCAGAGGAGCTGAACTTAAAGGTCACTTCTCTTCCACAGTCTTGTATAAGATCAGTTAGGACCTTAGAGTGGCTATTTGTATACATTGTTAGCATTTCAAATAGTATAGTCGAGTAGCCTACGAGATCTCATTTGATATATCTTCTTTCTCGTCTAAACTAAATCCGGTTCTAATTACGATATGATTCATAACACGTATTTATTTAAAATAATAATATCTCAATTTTTTTTGTGTATATAAGCAGTCTTGTATATGTATCATGTGTTCAATAGACCTAATTGGTGTGAAACTGGATGTGTTCTCCTTTGTGGTGCTATTCATGTCACCTAGTACGGTAGGAATGTGTGAGGCACTTTAGATTTGGATGCTGCTGTTTTCGTAATAACACATTATTGACATTATGATTTATGGGTGGTGAAAGGTTATTTTTTAGACGGTCCACTGTTTGAATTTGGGTTGTCTTTATAACAGTTGGGACCGAGCTTGTGTTATAGCGATCAATTGTAATTAATATTGCGAGTTATATTATATACCATGGTGCCTTCATGCATGGCTTATATTTGCATTCATTGTTACTGTTAGTATGTTATTTATACTTATAGAACAAGTTTTTAACCTCTTGTGTACGATGCAGGTCGGAAAATTATCTACTGGTGATTCTTTAGATATGTCCCCACATGACGAAGAAGCCATGGTGGCTAACGATGCAACCATTAAAGATATGGAGGTATCTCTCTATTCTCTGAGTTTATTATAGTCTAGGATAGAAAACAAAGGGTGAATGGCAGAAACTATCCTTGAAGTTTAGCTTAAATTACAAAAGAACTCGTTTAAATTTCAAAATTACAAACATCCGTAAGATTTGTTTGTACTTTCGAAACACCCTTAGAAAGGCAATTTGCAAAGTAGAAACGAATAGGTACTCGTAATTTGCAAACTCACTTCGGTTTTTTCAATAAATAGGTTAAAGCTCGAGAGTAATTAAACCATAAAAAGAAATATACTGGTTCTGCGTATGTTCAAACTGATGCATTTGATGGGAATTTTCCAACGAATTTTCTCATGCCAAGTGGTAGTTACTTTGAATAATGTTTATAACTTTGTTTTGATTGGTTATCAGGGAGCTGCTATTGCTTATGTGGCGGATCTATTGAAAGTGCCGGCAATATTCTTGAAAGCTGTGACTGATATTGTCGACGGCGACAAACCAACGGCTGAGGAGTTTCTCCAAAATCTGCTAGCTGTTACTGCTGCCCTTGATCTTGCTGCGACCAAAGTAGTTGATTTTATCAATGGAAAGAGCTGCTCAGAACTTTGATTGATCCTTCTCAATTTAATCTTATCAAAAAAGATTAATAATTACTCGTTAGATCCTCTTTATTTAGTATTTTGGTTCAGATTCTTGAAGACCGTATTCTTTTTGAATAGCTTATTGATAGCGATGTACCTCGTTTGCGCATTGCATGTATTCTTGCTACACGTTGAAACATCATGTAGACTTGCAAATGGTCTAAAAATTGTCACTTTTGCCGCATGAATCTGTTTCAGCTTAAAGAGTTGTAGCATAGGTATGTCTACTAAACTAGTCTAGTCGAATATATAAATGACGTATAATGTAGTCGACTATAACTTCAAATCCCACTTCTAAGCACAATAACGGCCTCCGATCTATCGGTTGAAAAGAGTTGTTTTGAATTAATGAACACCACATCCTCCGGCAAAACATGTGAAAAAAAGTTACGATAGATGAAACAAACTGAGAAATGAGAAATGTAGATTGTGTAATGAAAAAGGTACAATTCCTCTTCTCAAATTCACACAAAACACGATCAGAACGCAAGAATGGAAGTTGATTACCTTTTTAAATTCCATGGTTTACGATTGCATTTTGACGACATGAAATAATGATTAAAATATTGTTGATGTAAATAGAATCCCCACAAAATTATCTATACTGCAATATCTTTCTATCGTCAACCACGGGTTGACACCATCGTTCAATGATTCACTGCCGGTCTTTCACTCCCTCATCGTATCTTTATCTTCAGCCAATTCACCGCCACAGCTTTCCTCAACCAATTCACTGTATCTCTTTCAGGACTCCCTCAGCCCATCTTTGTCCTTTATCACGGTCCCTTCGGTTTTTTGGCGGTGGAGAAAGTGGATCTAGGGTATGGTGAGATGGAGAACAAAGAAGAGAGAAGATAGAACGGTTTCGGGTCGGGGTTGAGAAACAAGAGGAAAGAGTGCAAGTGAGAGAGAGGTTGACCAAATCATAAAGGGGAGTAGAACAGCGAAATGGATTAGGGTTTAGGGTTATGTTTGTTGAGGGTATTTTTGTCATCTAAAATAAGGGGATCACTCAAACTATTTTCGAGAATAGGTGATGCGGGTACTCGAACCACTGCAGAAGCTACGACTGAGTTAAGGAATTGGCAACAGGATGTCGCATCCGAGGATAGAGAAGGATGTCGGTCAAGGGACGACAATATTAGTGCAAGAGGTCATCGGGAGGAGCATTCAAGTCAACGGCCACCGCCATCCTAGGAGTATTCTCTTAGGGCATCTCCAATAGAGTCTCCAAATTGGGTCTCCAAATTCTGTTTTGGAGACCCAAATGGAGACCCGGTATAATTTTACAGTCTCTAAAAAAAAATCCACAATGGGAGGGCTCTATAATTTTGAGTCTCTAAATCATGTTACGGATTATTTTATGTAGTAATTTTTTTATGCTCAAATTTTATTCATATACGAGATTGTAGACAATAAATTTTATTTCAACAATCTTAATTATTTTTAATACACATTTTGATCCAAAAAAAATTATTTCTAAAAAGATATGAAATATTGAACTACAACCGTTGGATATGATTTCAATTGATCTCGTCCATTAAATTATTATCTAATTATCTTATTCACATCTCCTCCATGAAAAATTCGGGAAATATCTGAAATATTGAACTACAACCATTGGATATGATTTCAACTGATCTCGTCTGTTAATTTTTTATCTAATCATCTTATCCACATCTTGATGATCTTATTCAGATTTTCATTATCTTATCCAACTATAATCCATTAGATTGAATTTTGATGTTGAATCTTGGCCATTCAATTCTTATCTATTATCTATTCATTTTCTTATATAATGTTACTTCTCACCCATTACACAATCACCACACATTCTATACACAATCACCTCACATTCTATATACAATCCAGCTACATATTTATAAAAAGAAAATGGCACAACAAGGAAGCGATAATTCCTCCTATGACGACGACAACCAAGGCCACACAACGATGACAACGATATACGTGGAATACCAATTACTCATGTTGGCTTCACAGGGAAAGTGAAAAACACAACACGGAGGAGCATCATCACGCCGGAATTCCATAAGAGGGAATCGAAGAGTTGCGCATGAGCGACTTATGAATGATTACTTTGTAAATCGTCCTTTATATCCTCCTGAATATTTTCGAACTAGAAATCGTATGAGGCGTGAATTATTTTTAAGAATTATGAATGATATCGTGAATTTTGACGATTACTTTAGGCAAAAGCCGGATGCCTTCGGAATGCAAGGTTTCTCACCCCATGTCAAGATGACAGCTGCACATATCTTGCAGATGCAATTGACGAGTATCTAAAAATAGCAGCGATCACATCTTCAGATACTTTGAAGCATTTTGTCGTGCTGTCAATACAGTGTATGGAGATGAGTTTCTTCGACGATCTAACAATGCAGACATGGTTAGACTACTTAAAAAAACAGAGCAACGAGGATTTCCTAGAATGCTAGGAAGCGTATGCATTGGGAATGGAAAAATTGTCCCACCGCTTGGGCTGGTACATATTCTGGGCGCCATGGCAAACCTACAATAATACTTGAAGCCGTAGCATCATATGATACATGGATTTGGCATTCATACTTTGGTCTACCAGGTGCGTGTAATGATCTTAATGTATTATATAATCCACTTTTCAATGATGTTGTCGAAGGTCTAGCCACAAATATTCAATTTACTATAAATGGTAGAGCGTACAAGCAAGGATATTATCTAGCAGATGGTATATATCCACGTCGGTCAACTATTGTTCAAGCAATTCCCGATCCACAAGGACGCGATAAACAATTATTTACGAGGTTGCAAGAGGCATATCGAAAGGATGTTGAAAGAACTTTTGGCATCCTCCAATCTCGATTTGAGTTTATTACAGGACCTTGTCGATTATGGCACAATGCCCAAATTGATGAAGTTATGAAATGTTGTATATTTCTTCATAATATAATCGTGGAAGACAACCACAATCAAGAAGGTGACGATTTTGTCGAGCACGTAGAGCAACAACCTGTTGATCAAGACCCGATAACGATTCCAGAATATTTAAGCAACCGTGCCGGACTTACAGATAAAACTCGTTATTTTATGCTCCGAAATGATCTCGTCGAGCATGTTTGGAAAGAGTATCGAGATGGAAATTTGAATGTTTAATTTTTATCGTTGTAATCATGTTGTAAAATGGTTATTCATTGTCTTTTTTTTTTTGTTTTGTTCCTTGTATTTTAAGGGATATTTGAGTCTACCATATTAATCCTCGTTTTAATTGATTATCTATAAACTCAATATTTTAAATTATATAAAAATAGTTTACATTACTAAAAATTCAAATCAACAATTAAATAACGACATCTAAGATAATCAACGATAATTGGAAAATTAAACCATTAAAATAACATCAAGATACTTAATCAGATGGAGGCATTTCGGGGTGATAGACATCATCGTCAAAATTCAGTGAACGAGATGACCTTTTTGCAATAATGGCATTTTGTTGTTCAATCAACCATGCTTTCCTTTCCGGAGTTTCAACTGAGGACCTGCTCATCATCATAATTTTGAAATCTGTTTTAATCTCAAATTTTTCTTGGTAATCCCTCATTACTTTTGCCATTGACTCAGCTTGTCTCGTGGTATCATTTATAGTGCCCTTATTTTTTTGTTTTTTAGCTTTTTTTTGCCCCATCGGCCTTACGTTGGTGTTTAATGATTCAGGTAAATTTTGGGTCTCCGGCACCGAATCCCCTCCATATTCACTCGGACTAGAAAATAGGTTCGGACTTGAAGTGACATTTGCACTTTGGGAGAATTGAACTCCAATAATAGCCCTCCATTTTTTGCCATCTTTTAAAATTTTCCAGCAATGATGCAAGTTAAAAATTTTGCGCTCACTACTAAGGTATAGTAGTCTTGTTACATCCAACTGTGAATAACAAAAATAACAAACATTTAATATATAAAATAGTAATTAAGAAATAAAAAAACTCAACATAAATAACACTCACATTGTCAATGGCACTTGCTCCGCTTCTTGGCTTCAAAGTTATTTGAGCAACACATTCGGTAAATCTTGTACAACTTTGATTGAATTTCGTCCAGTGGGATTTCAGACTTTTTGCTATTCTCTTTTCACCTCCATCAGGAACAAACTCGTGAATTTTTTCTTCTATTCGCTTCCATATTGTAGTTATTGATTGATTTTTTTCAATAAGTGGATCATCACTAATCGTTATATGAGCTCGGCACAAAGATGCATCTTCTTCAGAAGAAAAATTACGGCCCCTTAAACTTCCTTCAAGATCTTCAATTACTGTTAAAAATTAATTAAATAGTAAGTCATTAAAATTAATATAAAAGAATTAAATTTATTAAAGCTAAAAACAAATATACTAATTACTCAAAAAAAAAGGACTAATTAAATATTTTTTTGAGAATTAATTAAATACATAATAATTATAAGATTTGTAAATCTCCACTAACTGTGCACCGCCTTTGACCTCCACACGTTTATTTTCTTCTTCTTTTTTTACTTTTTTATTTTTTTTTTATTTTAATTTTCTCTCTTTTAAACCTAACGCCTCTTCTTCCCCCAATTTATTCACTATGTTCTTACGCAGCTAGTAACAAAGAGAAAGAAAAAAAATTGTGCTCGTATTTCAAGAATTGAAGTAAAATCCAACCCCCTACTTCTAATTACTTCATTCCCTGAGCCATAAACCCAACCATGTTTCCAGTTTCTACAAGTATTGAAGAGAAAAAAAAAGAAGAAAAAAAAATTCACAATCTGAAGATTTAGAAGTGATGAAGAAGATGAAGAACAATTAGAGGTATTTATGCTTTTTTCATTATTTTTTCTTACCGTTGAAAACCAATGGTCATATTTGCAAATCATTCAAATTTTTATTTTTATTTAAAAAAATTAAATTCAAAAATTTTGTTTTGTTTGAAGCTGGGTACCATTAATCGGAGTCTCCAAATCAATACCTAAAATTTAGAACCAAGTTTGCATATTTTGTAAGAATCTGAAAATTTAGAGCCCCTTCAAAATTTCTTGTTGGTATTGGATTTTGTTGCACAATTTCTATACTATGCAACTAAATGGAGTTTAGAGACTCTATTGGAGATTCCCTTAGAATAGGTAACCAATAAGCCAACTTGTGGTTGTGGTTTTTCTGTATTCTTGTAAAAATAATTAATTTCTATTAAAGAAAATTACCTTTTTGGTATTCTATATTTGTTATACAATGCAAGCGCATAGATATAGTCCTAACGACTTATTCTATTGTTTTGAATTGATTTAGTAGAATGTGAGATAATTCAATATAAGTAATGTAACTGTTAAACCAATTCGTAGTTAATGGGTTACACTAATAATGAGGATGCTCGTTTTGTCCTTCTGAGACTAGCACTTAATGTATGTCTACTAACCCTCATCAATCATCGGTGTTGTGACATCAGCATACTTCAGTAGGTGCTCATATAGATGAGCTCACTAAACTCCGACGCCCTAGACATTCGTAAATGGTTGCAACTTATCGAGTAGATATTTCTATAATGTAGTTGTACACCATTAGTTCTTTAGACTCAGATAATCACCGTGACTTCACTAGATCAGACCAGTTGTATTGTGACTTGTCCCTAAGACCGCTCAAAGGGCCAGTGTTCACATAATTCAAAATCTAGTGTGAAGTTTGTGCATTGTAGTAGGGGATTCGAGTGTTTGATTAGTCATGGATGTTCCGTAACATTTTATAATCCATGGAGTCTCTTGCCAGAGCTGACAGTTTGGTGATTAGTGAAATTGGTTTCCCTAAGTCACACATGAACGGATTATATTACTTAGAACGCTGGCACTGTTATTGAACTACATTAGAGGTGTCGGTGGACAAATGCCTCTAGTTCAATCGGGACATATGCGTCGAATGGGTCGTACTTAACTATATCACAAGGTTATTCTTACAGATACTTCATCTGTATTTAGGGAATCATGATGCGTAGTTTCTCAACACCTATCTGGATTCGTTGGGCATTCACCGATTTGATCAACAATTGAGTTAAAATAAGTTTCATCTTAATTGGGACTCTTGGGACGAGTCTGTATAAGAAAATTGTGTTGTTAGAACCACAAAGAGTTATGAGCCCACGACTAGCATACAATTGAACCATTGAGGGTCACATTTCTCGTGTAATAGAGATCCTTAAATATAACAAGTTGAGATTAAGTTGTTGATCTTTGCATAATTGGAGGTTAATATGGTTGGATCCAAAGCTCTTAATTGTTGATTACAAATTTGAGTAAACAGAGAGAAAGATTTATGTGAAAATTTCTTTATAAATAGGGAAAATTTCTCGATTTTGCAGGTGCACTGAATTGGAAGTTTTCAATTTTGGAAATTGGAAATTTTCATGTGGCACTCATATTGACGATAATTTAATGCTCATCACAAATTGTAATTGTTATATTTTTCTGAACAATCATTTATTAGAAACGAAGCCTACGGATGTGGGCCTAACATCTTAATAAATTTGGTCCGGCTTAAGCTTGACTAGGTCTTAAACCCTAATATATAAGCAATGTTGACAGGAGTTAAAGTAATATTTTAACTCCCCATAACCCTAGCCTCTCTCTCTCTCTCTAAGCACTATCCCGGCGTCGTGCTGCCACTGCCGCCGTGGTTCTTCGTTTCTTTTTTTTTTTTTTTTTTTTTTTTTTTTTTCACTGTGTTTAACATTTTTATGTATCTAGTGCTACAAATTATGGGGATAAAATGTATTCGAGGGGAAACCCAATTGGAGAGGAGAATCTGGAGCCACCACCATCGTCGTCTGCATGCACCGGTGACGACAAACCCACGCGCCGTCGCCTAGGACATAACAACCGGTAGTCCTACTGCCGGTGAAGGCCATGCGCCATCTCCGCCATCTTCATCTAATTATTGGTGGATTCAATTCCCTCCTAGAATCGCACGCGTCGAATGTAAGCTTCGATCCTCGCAAATTAATTATTGTAATTATGTATTATGTGATAATAAGTTTGCAATAAATTGCTTGTCAATTCGTGTGATTCGAAATTGTACGTTAATTTATTTAATATTTCCTATCATGCTTATATGTTCGATTTAAGTTGATATGCGATTAGTCTATTATGCACGTTTGTATGATAAATCGTTATGGTTTTCAAAATTTTAAATGTTTTTTGCTGCGTTTCGTGCCTCGATTTCCAACATATATTCCTAGCTAGAATATGCCCATTCACTCCATTTATATTGGAGAAAATCCTGCCTTTTGTGTTTTGGATTCCCCATTTTTCACAGTACAACGGGACTGGAGATCCCTAAGAACATCTAAATAACTTATACGCCAAGGTCGGCTTATATGGCCTCACTGACGTCGCATACTGCAAGATCTTCCAAACCACCCTGACTAGTCATTCGTTAACTTGGTTCAACCACTTTTCGGAGGGAAGCCATTGATAGATTAACACAACTAGCATATCAATTCCTTGGCCAATTTTCCATAAACAAGAAGTACACCAAGACATGAGCGTATTTCAGGTCGTGTAGTGCAAGGGCGAAACACTTAAAGATTACATCCAATGGTTTGTTAGCGCAATACATGAAGTGTGCAATGTCAACCACAAGTTATTGGCATACATTTTGATGAATAATTTGATACACACGCGTTTCAAAGAGTCCGTTGTAGGTCGACCACCCTTGACCTTAGGCGAGCTCATTAGTGGAGCCTATAAGTTTATCCACATCGAGAAAACCGCAGAGATAAGACTATCCATCAATAAAAAATGCGAAGAGGAACGTCATGAACCGAAAGGTGAGACGAAAGGCGCCCAAGTCAGCCCCAGTCTTACCCAATGTTTACGCCTATGAAGCCTAATATCTTGAACGTTTGCGTAGTAGTGGAGCAGAAATGCCTGATTAACATTCACGACCAATGATTAGACAAACATTGCGAAAACCGTAGAGATTGAGGGCACACGGCGATGAGTTCTTTTAGTTCAGAAAAGAGATCGAGAGGTTGATAAACAAAGGACACCTGAGAAGAATTCATTGAAAAGCCGTCGAACAAAAAATTCAAGGGAAAATTCCACTTCCACAATAAAGGGGGACCACCGGGAGCGCTGTAGAAATCAAGATGAG